TTTTCATGTATTTATATTTAAATTTATTAAGAGTTAGAATAAGAAAAGAGGTAAGGACATGGTTTTTTAGGTGCTTGACGCACCAACCATGTGGCGGGGACCATGAGCAGCTGCTCATGTCTCGTATCTTAAGTTTGAGCTTTATGCTTGTATAAAGCTAAAACCATGCATGTACTTGCGGAGTCTGGCCTCTTTTTATGCTTTTTAGGATATATTGCCCACCCAACAACACCCAACCTTTTTTATATTATTTGGCTTGTTTTTTTTTCATTTTTGCGAATTTTGCTTACTATTTACTCTTTATTGATTGTGGCTTGTTTTGGATCATATTAAAATCAAATCTAGGTTCTATAAGGACCCAAAAATACCCTTTAAAAAATCTTAATAATAAAAAAATAAAAAATAATCAAAATTTAGGTTTAAAATTGTTCTATTTTAAAATGAGAATTTTATTCCCTACCTTTAATTTTCTACTTGTCCTTCGGGTTGATTTTAAAATGGGTTGTATTGCATAAACATCTCCCAAGTGATCCCTAATTTTTCCTCCACACATAAATTAATTTATAGACAATTGCATTATTCTCATGTTCTAAGGAGATTCCCCTTGCTCCCTCAATTGATTGGTCAAGCATATCCTTTCTACTTCGAAGGTTGTTTAGGGTGTTAGAGGCTTTCTCGACTTAGACAAGGAATAAGTCTTTTGTGGGGTTGTTATGGTTCTGTAACCAGAACCCCTTTTATCTTTTCATTCTAGCGGCATCTTCTTCATTTAATTGACAATCATAAGTCCAATTTTTATTTATCCCACCTCTTAAAGGGTAATAAGGAATTAGAGATTTCTTCCCTCTAATCTTAGGGCTACCGCTATTGCCTTAGACGACACAATTCATGGATAGCTAAGAGGGGGTCCTTGGTTGGGTTGGGTTGACTACTTTCACCGCTTGGTAGACTTAGATTCTCCATAGCTTAAGCTTATGGATTCATTGTATTCAAACTCAGTCACGTCTACCTACTTAGGGATTCCTCCCCTTTCTGTTGACACCTCCTTTGAGCCATGTCATTCCTTTAAAAAAATTATTGATGTCATCTCTTAAGCCTTGCATACCTAGGTACCTCCTCCCATAGTTGATACAGTGATTCACCCTCTACCCTATGGCCTGGCATAGGCATCAAAAGCATCGGTATTCTCCCGTTTGAGATGATAAAATCCTTTGGTTTTTCAAAAAATTGGATATCATAAATAATATACGATCATAAATAATTTTATCGGGAGTATCCATTAGCACCCCCCAAGATGTAAATAACCAAAGGAATACGATCATTTGGGAGTACTCCTGAACCAAGAACAAACACAAATGCTTGAATCACTAGTTACATGAGTGGCTTATGAATGGGTTCTCTTTGTGGATTGCTTATGAATGGGTTCTCTTCGTGGATTGTATTTCAAGATGTATTGATCAAATATCTTTGGACGTACATTCTTGACCTATCATATGAGGATTACTTTAAATAAGCCCTCCTTATTTCCTTTTAAAATTTGTTCGTTTAAATTTAGTCATATATCCTATCTTTTGTATTTCTCTTCTCTTTGAATTGAGATTTATTTCAAAGAAAGAATCATATGATGATAAGACAAGCTTGCAACTACGAGTCTTTTTGAAAAGAACCTTAAACATGAGTATTCCATTAATATGATGTAAAATCCTGCAGATATTTTGTCCTAATTTTTTTTTTTTTGACTTTATGGACCATCTTCCCACACTTCTATGGTCTAAAGTTACTTTGGGGTCTAGTGGACTGTAGGTGGATGTATCCAATTGAAAGGTATGTCCACTCGATGCCCTACTTTTTATGTTAGAATGATCTACTACCATAATATAAAAAAAAATTTCTATATATTGTTGGTTTAAAAAAAAACTGGTAAGAATAAAGCACATCTAGAGAGCTTGAATGCAATGTTTATTTGTTGCATGAAAATTACATTATGTTCTTAATCTCTTGAGCAAGAACAAAAAATACAACAAATTGTTGGTGAGATTTCCTCATAGTCTAAATTATCTTTATTTCAGATGTCAGATGAAGCATCAGGGTGGCATGGTACATGCTACTTCAGTGATAAAGAGTTTTAAGCAATGACGTTATATGTTTTTCGAAACTGTAACAAAGTCCAACTATTTATAAAGTAAATTTTTTAGTTATTAAATTTAATATTAGTCATTACTCAGAATGTCATATTAACTTGAGAATATAAATAGAAATAATATTAGCAAGTTGTTTTTAAATAAAGATGATGACTTTGTCAAAAGCAAAAATATTAAAAAAGAATTTCTGAAATCATTCAAATCATATGCATGTTAAAATAAATTTTCAATTTATCAGTACTTAATATAATTTGCTTGCTCAAAAAAAAATCTCAATCGTGTTTTGAGACATATCATTTAGAAAGTTTGAGGTAAAATCATGTAATTTGAATTAAAATTTTAATTTTAAGTTTTTTTGATACATTAATAAATATTACGTAGTTTTTTTTTAATTATTTTACACAGATTATTCCACTGGTTGTTAGAGCATCACCGGTAGATGTAGTAAGTTTTTGAGGTTTTTGCTAAGCATCAGCTCAATAATATGTTCATGACAATCCGCAATATGGAAGCAACCAATTCGGGTTATGGAGGAGATTTGGTTATAGTTAACTAGATCATGGGAATATCACGATTATCATAGGAAGAGGGAAACAAATTAGTAGAATCAGAGGACTGAGGGAGCCATAGGCGCCACACTACACATTCGAGGATTGGCCCCGTACACAAAGCTATACTAGAAGTTGGTCAGATTGACAAAATACTCGATAATACAATAATGTCTTTATCCATACTAATTATTTTTTTTCAAGTACATGGCCTTAGGAGCTTAACTGACTGCTCACTATTTTACATATCCGAACACATCGATGATTGAGAACATAACTGCTAGTAGTAAGTAAAAAAAAATTTTTTTTTTGTAATTTTCTAACAATATTATTTAAATTTTTAATTAATCATTGATTTTAATTATATAAGAGGATTATGAGCACATTCTCGACACACAGAGCTAGAGGCAGAGCCAAGACTCGACAATTGCTAGTAGTAGTGGCGGTTGGTCTATCCCTGAGAAATTTAATTATGAGATGCAGAGGTAGCAAGCTGCAGGGAAGAAAAAGAAGAGGGTATGCGGTAAGTGTTCGACGTCATCATCATCAGAGAATAATGAACTTGTCTGGCTTATTGCTGCTTTGATTAAAGAGGTCTGTGAGCTACGTGAAGAGCATCAAGGAGTTGAGGCCAACATCACGCGGTTGGAGCAGGTCGTTAATTGTCGTAGCAAGCGACCTTGGAGTTCAATGGATGACGACGAGGGAAAGAAAGGAGAGGATGACGATGATTTCACCTACAATGCTCCATATGGGCTTTATGTAATTTTCTTCTTTTTTAGTGTTTGGACATGATCCTAAGTATATATTTTTGTATTTAGTTTTTATAAATCTCTGTTGGTGGGTTTTTTATCGGACTGTGTAATCCTTGTTAGTTTTATTTGATTCATTGTCGATACATATCTATACAAAATGTTATGTGTTGTGTTGATGATGAGTAAATGTTTGTGATATTTGTTGTGATTAAGTGTAACAAATTTGATTTCTCTTTACTACATATATTTTTAAATTGTTGTATGTATGCGCTTGATTTGCGACGAATATGTCCGACACAAATAACTGCTGAAATTTCCGATGCAAATCAACCTCACCGACAAGATATTTAGACGCACAGTCAGATGCAAATTTGCGTCCACAAAACCAAATGCAAATTCCATACATAATGTTCAAGTCTGAATGTATGGCATTACAGTTGGCTTCCGTCGATATTTTGGGTCGTAAAAGCCGTCACAAATTATTTTCATCGATCACGTTCGATACTAATTGGACACAAATTTGACGGTATTAGAGATCAACCTCAAATTTCTTCTCTACTATCATCGGAATTATCTAGCGGTAATTTGTGGATTTCCTCTATAAATTTGCTTGAAGAGGAGATCACATTATCTTAAATTTAATTCTGAAAGATTCCAACTCAAGGTTGTATTAGGATTTATTTGTAATCTGATGAATTTTCTTAAGACGTATAAAATATGACATAACTCTCATTTTTGAAAAGCTATTTAAAGATGATGATGAACGAAATAATTAACATTTAAAAATAACATGCCAGATATTATAGATGTCATTGAATCAAGCAGCCCGTCAACGCAATCAAAACTCAAATGAATGAGTTCAATAAATTTCACACTGAACGATTTATGTCTATGTTACTTAGCAATACTGTTTAAGTTCTATTTAGAAATTATATAGTCAATATTAATAGACAGCTAAAAAATTTGTATTTATTTAAGGAATTAAGAAGCTTAGTTTGCTGCGTTATTATACTCTTCAAAGCCCATCCACCACATATTTGGTAAACAGAAAGCAACATTCTGTATAAATATCAGAAATATTTACATATATATCATTCAATTCTTAGCTATTTACAAATCTAACACCCAAACTTCAATTTTTCATATAATAACACCTTGTCTACCCATAAAAAGACGTTTTTTTTTTTTAGTTATGCAGTGATACTTTTTATGTGGCATGAAAAAATTTGGTGGAATAAATTTAAGAGAAAATTTAAGATGTTCTCCCTATATATTTGTCAGTTGTAAGTCCTCTCTGGTCCGGAATATGATTCCCCCGTGCATTAAGTGTGGTACTTGAATTTTTAATGCGCGAGGGATTTCCGGGGCTTGTATAATATCCGGCCATTATTTTTTTTAATATATGTATGTATGTATGTATATATATATATATACACACACGCAAACATATGCGAATTGGAGGGTATGAATGTAAATGCTCAACAAACGGTGGTACATAATAATTTCTTCTATATTTTTTTTTGTATCAATGCGGCACAAAATGCCACGCCCTAACTTTTGGAAATTTCAAGCAAGAGGACCCGAAGGCCACTTTCTTGAAAGTGCCCCCAAAAACAAATAAACAAATAAGACATTTCCTTTTTTTTTTTTACAAATCATCGTACAAGTCAATAAAGTAAGAAAACTTCTCCTTTCCCTGAACTGAATTAATTTTAGTTTAGCAACGAGTCAATGAAAAAATCATCTCTTGGCTCCTCTTTGGCCTTCGTTAACATAATCTGACCCTGCTGTAATTGCTGAAGCTGATTCTGCTGTTGCAATGATTTAGCGAACAATAAATTCATTGAATCATCAAATTTGGAGATTCCAATGCCATCCAATTCATTAGACTTTGTGCCAAAAAATGAATCATAGGCCATTCGACCAGGACGACTTTCAACGACTGAAGGCTTTATAGGCATGATGTAGTTGTTCATGTTGTAGATGTTATTGTTGTTTTTGTTTCTATTATTTTCATATAAAGTCTTGTTTGCTAAGACTATGCTACCTCGAGAAATGGGGACATCATGATTGTGCTTGCCTTCGTAGGTCGTAATCACGGCCCTTAAATCAGTTGATGCTCTCTCGACGTGTTTTCTCACCGAGCATCCAGAAGTTGTGCACTTGTAGTAGCTCCTAAAAATTTAAAATAATTGATAAGAATTAAATCAATGAGGGCCTCCGGCCTCTTTAGATTAATTTTTATTTTTATTTTATTTAATTTTTTTTTAAATATAATATCATTGACATGTTATAATATGTTTAGCTATTTTTTAAAGCACTCAAAATAAAAATGATCTTAAATAAATCCTATGAAACTACAAATATAAGTTCTTTTTTATTTATCAATAATACTTCAGCTAACTCAATAATGCACAAGGAATAACAATTCCCTTATCATACCATACTATTTGGTTGGTGAATGATAGTAGTTTATAACTTACTGGAAATGTCATGCAACCTAATTGAATATTCTTTCAATTCATTTGTGTGTACATGTAACAAAACTAAATTGCAAATATTTAAGCTCACCTAGGATTTGGATTCCCCTTCACCACCTTCTGACCATACTTTCTCCACCGGTATCCATCGTCGAGAATGTCGATGTCGCTCGTCGTTTGAACCACCACTTTAGGCTCCCTAACAGTTCTACTTCCCAAATATGAAATCCCATCATCCCCGCCTTCCATCTTCCTACAAAACCATAGAAGAAAAGTAACTACATAACTAATCATTTTTGCTCCTTTGTTTTTTTTTAATTTCTTATTAAATCATTGTCATTAAGTAAAACAACAAGTTTGCATAACAAGTTATTTATAAGCTCACCATTTCTTAGTATCAAGTTCATTCTCATCATAACCATCTCCACCTGTTATCAAACTCTGAGAAATCATATCAATATCTTCGTCACCAAATGAAGCAGAAGAATTCTCGGTTGTGATTGAATCCTTTGTCACGCAGAATTTTCCATTAATGGAATGATCCCTTTCTTTATGATGAATTGAACTATCAAGTCCTTGAAAAGATGATGAGTTCTTTCTTGTGCATTGTGGCTTCGAATGATTATGGTTTCCTTTGTATATAATCTCAATTATATGTCCATCTAATGATCTCTCTACCTTCTTCCTTGTTGGACAATTAGGGTTAGTGCACTTATAGTAGCTTCTTGGGTTCTCACTGCCTTTCACTTGTTTCTGCCCATATTTTCTCCAGTTGTACCCATCTTCAACTTTTCTTCTCTCTCTGAAGCCTTTAGCTGAATGGTTGCTACTGTACTCGGCCTGATTACTTGTCTGCATGGTTGGGATCTCGTTTGAACTTAGTAGAGGTTGCTGCTGAAAGCTCCATGATTGCTGATGTATCTTGAAGGCTTCTTCTTCCTTTTGTTTTGATAGAAGGTTAATCGTGGTGTAAGAATTAAGGAAATAAATAAGAGAAATTAACGAGTTAAACTGACTTACAGAACTTATAAATTCTATTGAAGAAGGATGGAAGGAAGAAGTTTGCAAGTTTGCAGGCCATGTAGATGTTTGGAGTGAGAAACTAGAATTTGACTTGTCATGTTCCTTAAATTCTACCTGAAAATTATTAATACTGTTTTCCCTCCAATTAGATGTTTGTGCAGGAAAACTACTCCCAATTGCTTGATAGTCTAATATCTGTGCAAGCATGAAAAGGACAAGCTTATAATTTGCATAAAATAAAAGCTGTACTCTTTATTTGTTCTTCAAATTAATTAAAGAGAATAACATAAGAAATGGACAATAAATATGGTAGAAAAGTATAATTTTAACAGAAAAATTGGCTAAACACAAAAGAAGACTGCTCATATAAAATTACATTTTAGTTCAAGAAAAAGTACTATAACAGAAAGCTTGATGCATGCCAGAACTCATGCAAAAATTTTGCATGAAAAGAAAAATAGAAAATAAAGAGAGGAAAATATTTTTACACAACTTACATTAGAAGAAGAAAGAGGCATAGGGGAGTTGAGGAACATGGAGGGGCTAAGACCACCGGGAAGGGAAAGGAAAGAATATGGAGAAAGAGGTGCTGAACTTGGAAACAACAAACATGGCGTCGAATTTGACTTCAATCCAAAGCTTGAACATGAGGTTGACCTTTCCTCTCCCATGGCAGCCTCTGCGCCTCTGAGAAAAGTATTAGAGGAAGATGAAGCTGCGGAGAAGGAGAGGATGGGAGCTGAGTTCTCCGAGTTGACGAAGCTTGATGAAGATGGAGTCATGGAGAAGAGGAAGGAGGTTGGAGCAAAGAGAGTTAGAGAGAATAATAGAAATGAGGGGGATTCGAGTTGAGAGAGTATAGAGGAGAGTTAAGACAAAAAGAAAAATAAGCGTTTTTATGTATCAAGTTAGCTTGAATCACGTATGAGAATGCGACAAAGGGAGAGAAAGAAAGATACTTGGATGACAGAAGAGGGCATAATTCTAAGATGGCAACGAGAAAACTTTGATTGTTGAATAGGAAGTCCAATGTCCTGGATTTGACTGGAGCAGGCGGCTTGGTCATCAGCCTATATATATATATATATATATATATATATAGTTTTTAAAATAGGAAGCAGCCAAAGTAGGCATTGGAAATTTTTAAATTTTGATTTCAATCCGTGGTGGCATTCTGCCTATTTGCTCGGTCCGAATTAACAAATATGTATTTGTGTAAAATAAATAAAAGCTGATCAAATTGCTGGGGTAAATTTTAAAATACAACATTCCTAGTAATCTAAATAACATTGAATCGTAATAAGAAATCTATTGGCGCTGTCACTCCTTAATGGCAACTGGTTTGCAATATTGATATTCAGTTCTAATTTGTTTGTTACTTTGTAGGGGAAGATTTGCATGCATATCACTTAATTTCTATGTTTTTACATATCTAAACTTCCAAAATTTATTTTTTACTTATATATTTTCTGAAATATGCATGAAAAAATGCATTTTTTGTGATAAAAAATATCGGAGTGGTATAAATGTGAACAATAAAGTTTATTTGCACAATTTTTTTTTCTTTTTTTTTGCACTGCGGTTAAGGATATATATTGTCAAAATCATATCCACTCTAAAAAAAATTAATGAATGATAAAATCGAATCAAAACAAGCTCCAAAACATTGTGATTTGATTAATGATAAGGTTAGATTTTATTTTTTGCTTAATTTTAAGTATTAGTAATAAAATATAAGTAGTAAGTTGTAAATTATATGTAATTAATTTTATTTAAACTGATGTCTATAAACTTATTACATTACTGGTTAAATGTAATTTGATCCTATTATATTTATACTGTAGGTTATATTTATAAAATATTAGCTCAGAAAATTCGATTATATTTTTAGTCAATAATTTTTGAAGTATTTGCGTTTATTTATGGCAAACGTAATATAAATTTTATTGATTATATTTTTATTACATTCACTTTAAATCAAATTTAGCACTTGCTTGATTACATAGTTAAATAATTGAAAGTGATATGATATAATTTTTAAAGTAATTTAATATTAAATATGACAAATTTTTACTTGAAATTTTGATTAGACAAGACTTGTTTCATATTCATTTGATTAAACTTCAAAATGAAAGGGGTTATATTTAGAAACATGAAAAAAATATAATAAAAAACAACTAAGAAATTAATGTTGTGTAATTTAGAGACATTTCGTTTCTTTTAGAAATATTTCCTACTCGCTGACATCGATCGCATGTTTTAATATATTCGTTAACATCTCTAAAAAGAGTAGGCCAATAAAATCTAGCTTGCAAAATTTTATAAGCAGTTCTATTTGTTCCAAAATGTACTCCAAATTCAGAATCATGACATCTTTCAATTATTTGTTGAGTTTCTCCATAAGGCACCACACCTTCTAATGCACACACCTTCTAATAATTAGTTCTTTATATTGTTCATATAAATATGGGTCCCAAAAATAGAATTTTGAATCATATATAAGTTTCTTTAATTGTTGATGCTTAATATCTGGTGGTAGAATATCACTTATAATATAATTTACTATATTGGCATACCACGGTGTATCCATTTCATCAATACTATATAAATGTTCGTCAGGGAAATTTTCTAAAATTTTATTTACAAAATTAGTTAATATTTTTTTTCTGGTCTAGACAAATAATCAGCTATTTGATTATCATTTCCCTCTCTATCAACTACAGAAAAATCGAACTTATGCAATAGAAGTATCCATCTATTTAACTTTGGTTTAGCATCCTTCTTTTGCATTAAATATTTAATAGTAGAATGATCTGTATGCACTATACATTTAGTTCCAATTAAGTAAGGTCTAAATTTATCAAAGGCATAGACAATAGCTAATAACTATCTTTCAGTAGTAGTGTAGTTAATTTGAGCATCATTCAGAGTATCACTAGCATAATATAGTACTTTCAAAACCATGTTGTGTCTTTGTCCTAACACAGCTTCAATAGCATAATCACTAGCATTGCATTATTTCGAATGATTTTTCCCAATCAGGTGGTACTATTATACTTTATCATTTTTTTGTAGAAGAAAAGTATTTAATATTAAAATATCTTTTTTCTTATCATGAATCAGTAATAACTATATAAATTTTGTTGTGGAAGTACGCAATTTGTGTTGTGTCAAATATGAGCAATAATATTCTTTACCCTTACTAGAGATGCTATAAAGAGCATTGGTTAATTTAAAGTTTGAATAGTTCTGAAGACCGGCTAGGCAGGGATGACATTAGCTCTCACTCTAGAGTTCCTTCGATTCCCTCCACCTGTGGGCTAACATTCTTGTATCAGAACCTAAAACAATAAACTAAATTGGGGGCTTTAACCTATCACTTTAAAGTCCTCTAACTCTACACCCATCAATGAATATTTTCCTATTTATTTGCACTCAATCATATGACTATATTCTCATTCGTACAACCTCATGTGATTCTTTCCAATTGTTGACCGAGACAATACCAGCCCGGTTCTTACATGTTCTCAAAACAAATTTTAACATCGGGATTGGTCAAATCAAGAAGTAAATGAAGTGCATGGATTTAAATCATCACAACTTCTTCCAACATTAAAGATCAATACTCTCCAGAAATTCCATCCAAAACTTAATTACTTATCATTTTAAGAAGAAAGATGTCGGCACTATTTTTGGTATGGGGTTTGCCCGTAAGAAGCTGTCGGTCATTGGAATTGAAATCCCGTTGCCTGCTTCGGAAGGACGTTTTTAAAAAATTTAGTTTTGAAAAAGATGAAGTCAAACTGACCCCATAATTTTCCTAGTTTAGATGAAAGAGCGCTTTATCTCAAATCATGTATCTATCCCGAAGGATGAACGCAAGAATTGAGAGTGAGGCTCGATCAAATAAACTAAAGAAAGTTATGACATCCGGTTGGTCTGCGAAACCAATGTATTGGCCGACAAGTTCCCCTAT